TAATTATAGACTGGACTATGGGCCGGCTGTGCGTGCACAGCCGAATCAAATCTAGTACTCTTAATATATAAAAGGATGGTAAAAGCGCCTTTGTTCGACACGTGGCGCAAGGATTTTAAGGGGCTGCCTCTTTTTACTTCGAAACGACGTCGTTTTCTTCCATGTCTTACACGATGTCGTTTCCCGTGTTGTGAGTTATTTTTTCGCTGCCTGTTTGATACTTTCAAATCGATTTTTTTCTTGGGAGAGCAATTTAGGGTTCCCGTCGCATTCCTCGATCATTACCTTCAATTTTTTTTTTCCCAACTACAGTGTGAAGATTAAACGATTATTCTCGTGGTTGTGTGCTTGCAAGCGCAAGGTCTATCTTTGTTTTATTCCAACGAAGGTTTATTTTGTTCGTGTTTTTTGGAGTGTGTTACGTAGATTGGGGGTAAATAATTCCAAATTTTCTTTCGGATCTTGTGTTCTTCTATTATTCTAGGGTTTGAATTAGTTGAATTGTGTGTATTTTAGGTTGTTTGGCTTACAAATTACCTACAAGGTTTGATCTCTTTTCTCTTTTCGGTTTCGCAGGTGGGACAGCTTGAATCGTGGAGATACAAACCAGGGAAGCTCCTTTTTTTATTATTTATTTTACCTTGATTGTTTGGTTAATTGCTTTTTGTTTTCTTTGGAATGCTTTTCTCTGCCTTGTTCACTATTCTGTATTGTTAGTGGTGTGTGTATATTATGTATGGGTAATTATTTTTTGTTTCTTAATTCAAGTGGGAAGATAGTTAATTGATGAAGAGAAATTGTTTGTGGTATTGCATGTGTTCATATTTTGTATTGTATGTAGCCGTCAATTCTATAGGGTAATTGATGCAAATTATTGCAATGAATCTGCTTGATGTCATTACAAAATATTTGGCAGCAGCTTTTGTCTAATATTTTTTGACTTCCAATGGTGTAATGTGTGTGTGGCATGTTTTGTTAGAGATAACTTAATATTTTTATAAAGGGTTTTGATTTGATAGGGCTCCACTAACAATATAATATTATACATTTCTTTTGATAAACCTGTTATTGTATATAAAAACATCAGTATTTTGTTTTTCCAGAGAAAAAGGTGAATTTTGCTCTTCAAGAACATGTTTGTTGAACTAAAAAAATATCAGATTTCTTTTTCATCTGTGTTTGGAGTTTTGCTTTCTCTTAGCATATTATTGGTGTCTTTGTGCAATCTCCTAAACAAAGTAA